AATTCAAAGCCGGAAATTGATTAATCATTATGCAAATTAGGTAATTAATATAAACAGGTTTTTACCCAAAACTAATCAAATCTGCGCATTAGTTCAGAGTATCCCTGTGCCAAGTTTCATCGAAATCCAATGAGTGGTTCTTCAAATATCAGTGTAACAGTCATGGAACAGCTTAAAATCAGTTAATTATTATGCAAATTAGGTAATTGATATTCATAGATTTTTACCCAAAACTAATCAAATCTGCGCATTAGTTCAGAGTATCCATGTGCCAAGTTTCATTGAAATCCAATGAGTGGTTCTTCAAATATCAGTGGAACAGTCATGGAACAGCTTAAAATCAGTTAATTATTATGCAAATTAGGTAATTAATATTCATAGATTTTTACCCAAAACTAATCAAATCTGCGCACTAGTTCAGAGCATCCATGTGCCAAGTTTCATCGAAATCCAATGAGTGGTTCTTCAAATATCAGTGGAACAGTCATGCAACAGCTAAAAATCAGCTAATTACATGTATCATGCAAATTAGGTAATTAATATTTATAAATTTTTACCAAAACCTAATCAACTCTGCGCATTATTCCAGAGCATCTATGTACCAAGTTTCACCCAAATTTGATTAGTGGTTTTTGAGATAACGGTGGAACAAAAAAAGTGACATACATACAGACATACAGACAGGGTAACTGCAAAGACTCCCTTTTGTGCTTCGCACACGGGAGTCAAAAATGGTTGAAGACCATTGCAATTTTGGCAATTTTGAATCAAATCACAAAACAAACTGATGTGCATCAGTAACTCAGTGTGTATTATTCATATTAAAGCGAACCTAAATGTGGCCTTAATTTATAGTTGTGTATATTCTAAACTGTATTCGAAATAATATTGCAGTGGTTTAATTTTAATTATAACTGTAGCTTGGATATGCATTTGAAGTGCTTGCAATTAAACACGATGGAGGCCATTCATGGAGGGGAATAAATAACGAACAAACGAACATATTTAACATCAGGGTACTTTTCAAAGCTATGACGTTTTAGTATTTGATCGCATTCGTATACTACGCCATTGTACATAGCTGTTCATGCTGCCAAGCATTGTGTACTACTAGTATAATACTCAGGATGATCCCCGATGTTGCAATACTGAAGTAATCCATATTTCTTTGAGTAGTAGCTTTCGAAAAGCCAAAAATGTGATCGTTAAGTCGTGTACCTGGTTATTTGGCATGGTTTACTTTGAGACTATCATGAAAGGCTTAGGGTTTGAACGATGTGACATGTTGGCGACCGTGAAAGGTGTTTAAATTCTTCCTCAACACACAGTTTACCCACGGTTATTAAGCGTAGTTTACTTTTCGGAAATTGCAAATCGCCAGTTTTTAGGGAAAAAATCATCTTTTTTTTCATTGCAATCAGTGCTACAGATCGCATTTTAACATTACAGTAATTCACTTCGGCATTGCGTTAAAAAATCATCGTCAATAATCGGAAAATGTCATCATTATGACACATCATTTTGATTGGTTAATGAAAGATATGACCTGTTAGGTCAAAGGAAGTTGTCTCAGGTCAAATCGTGCTGAAAAATCTCATGGTGAAAAATTGCTTTGCATCGAAAGTTTGCGTACAATCGAAAATATACCAAAACGAAGATAATGATGAATGATTTCGACTGTTTCCCCACAGACCCTACCCATTATTTCACCGTGAATTCAGACATATTGTATTGTATTAAAATGTGTGTTTGTTACGAACATGTTTGTTTCTTCATTGTAAGTGTCGTGGAAATCTATGACGCATTTTATTTTCAAAAAGAAGTATTATTTTCCCGAGCCCGGCGTGGTGAACGAATAATTTTTTTGGATAATTTTTCTTTGTTGGCAGTGTTTAACAAAAAAACAAAATCATCTTTTCTGAGTTGGTCTTCAAGTATAAGCTCATATCTTACTTTTCCTTTACGTGTTCATGCCTCCTGGCTTATGATCAGGGAAGTACGGTATACTGTGAAGATTCAATGCCCCTTGTTCGGATGATAGTTTTATTTCAAATTACACAGAAGTCTGTGAACAATCTGCTTGGTGGTCTTGTGACAATTGTCCCATGATTTGCCAGTGCAGTCCCGTGAATACATGGACGAAAATGTTTCCACCACCACCCTACGAACTCAAGATTGCATACTCCAGCATCCAGACTTTGAAATAATTTGCACGCCGCACAGTGCAGTACTGGAAACAGCATTTATTAGACAGTTAGACAAAAAAGACAACAAAATGCCTGTCTCGATCAGTCGCACATCCATAATGTTTGTATGTTGATATGCCTGTAAATAACATTAACGTAAAAGTTGAAACAATCTAGACTAGAAGTCAATTCACCAGTCCAGCCAACTATGGCTCCCTAAGTGGTTTATATTTAATCAGATACTACTGTAAAATGATTAATTTTCAGGCATATTTAGTGGGTTTTAAATTCACGGTTTTATCATTTAGATAATGTGTTCTATGCTAAATTTTACATATTCACTGGGTTTTAATTGAGCACATTTTCCAATCAGCGAAATAAGCAAAATTAAAACCCAGTGAACAATTAACCCCTTTACAGTATTTTGTTATCATACTTTGTTATCTTTCCTGTTTATACATTATGAGGACGTTTTTTTACGGCAAGATGGAGTAAACGGAAGTCCTTCGCAGGTTTATGGTTTCTCATATTTAACTCTGAAGATAATCATTTTTTTTTTCAAATTTATAATCAATATACATAACTTGGTAAATACAAACACCAAATTGGGCTCTATTTAGTTCTCCTTTATGTTTGAAAAAAAATGGCATGTAAAAAAAAACAATCTTGACTTTGTACTTAATTTAAATCAAATCTGCAGCCAGAACACTAGTATAAAACAAGTGGCCACCAGTTTCCATTTTGAATCAAATTGCAAAAAAATAAAGACTATGACTGATGAGCAATAGGAGTAAGAATAAGAGCAATAACAATGAAATACATAAAAAAAATGAGAAATGCACAAAAGAAAAAGAAAATGATAAAAGTAAGAATTATCTTTTAATTGGATGTTCTCTTCTAATATCAAATACGGCATATACATA